TTTTGTGAAACAAGGAAACAACGAGTCGCCATGTGAGGAGCTGTAGGAGCGTTTGTACGCCGCCCTGTCTCTTGATGTGAGAGAAGTTTGTTTGTGTCGGGTTTATGTATTGGCCCATCAGACAACCCCCCCACGAGTGAGTGTGGCACCTATTTTTTTTCAATGCATGAACGTATGTATGTGCGGAACTACGGCACACGTTCCTCATCGTGCAAGCGCACGATACACACGAGCGAATGCTCACTCAGTGTACCTCTTCAGATCGACATGCTTGCTACTTGTGGAGCAGAGCGTCCAACAAACTCCCAACGCGGGGAAAAACCTGACTCCTCCTTTCCCACGAAAAGAAAACTTGGCGTCATTACTTCAAGCGACTGAAAGCGTACACATGGACGTACGTGTAAATGATTCAATCGGACATCAAGGTGCCCCGCGTGCATCTCTGTCCGTTGCTGGCAATCGGCACGAATTTTCGCATGCAGGTACCAATCGCCAGTGCACTCAATGTACGATCCGGTGTTTCTTGTTCATGCTCTCACTCCCTCGCCAGTCATCGTTCGGCCTCTCTCTGCGCCGTGATCATCGGCGGAATAGTATAGACTATAGTCTATCATCCATAGAGTATTTGCCCGCCAGAAACCGTTTGCCGTTGTTTGATGCTGTGCCGCTTGCCTCGTCTAGTAGACCTCAATCTCGCTCGAACATTGCCAGCCGAGACTACGCACTCAAATCACTCGCGTATTACCACCGCTTAACCATCATGTGAACTATTTTACAGGCGATGTTCGATTTAGATTTAGCACCGCTTGCTATCAATACTAGTTATCACAAATATGTTACACCTCTCTCAAAACAAAGACGTATCCAAGGAGTTCAAGTGCACGAAATTCGATATATATATATCCGGCTGCAATACACAGCAGCACACACACCCGGGAGCCATACCAAAACACCGAAAACAGCACAAACAGGCACTTGACTGAAGGGAACCAAGTGCATATCATTTGACTATTCCTAAATGCACAAACGCGTCTGAGCGCGAAGAAGAAAAAACCGTCCTGGACGTCAGACCGAAGAAGGGGACACAGACACGCAACTTTTTTTCTTAGAGATGGATTCGTTGGGTCATATCAAGAAAAAAACAAAAAAAAGAAGGAAACCAAAGAATCAATGCTGTTCTCGCCCGAGAGAAAGCACATAATTTTTAGCGATGTGTATATCTTCAGCTACATGTAGCCACAGCAAACAACCCGGGGGCAAGATGCACGCTGGGAAAGCAGCCATCAGAGGACAAACAAACATGAATTCCATGCCATATGATGACATGACTGACTGAACATATTCTCGCAGGGTTTGCCTTTCCGAACCTCCGCAATCCACCTTTCTTGGCGTTCCGCTGGCGAGCTCCGCCGGTGGGAGAATGAAAAGGGTTACTGGAAGAATATCCGACAGTAAAATTTAAAAAACATTTACCAACCCCAAATTTCCTTTGGTTGTCTAGCAGCGCCTGCCTGTAGTACTTGCAAGAAAGTCAATACAACCATTGAATGGGAGCAACCTACTCGTCACACATCGATTTATCATACATGGTGGGAGGGCACTACCGGCAAGACGCAGTATTGCTACGACTAAGTATCTCGGAAGACACGAAGAGTACATTTAACGTGTCTCGCTGCACACATGGCATTCCACGACACGCTCACGTTGAAATCTACAGTACGGAGAGGAGCAAACCACGCGTATCAAGCGCCGTACGTCCCACATGGGCGTTCCCAACGCACGCGCGAATGAACGCTAGATGTCAGCACTTGAATATATCACGCCTGACGTTGTAAAAATAAATGAGAGCAAATAGCCAAAATTAAGCCAGTCGTGACAGGAATGACCCAATTCATCGTTTACCATTACCACCTTATCAATAAATAAAGCCGGCGACCAAAACGAACGACAGACTGACGCGGGCAAAGAACACGCAAAACATGAAGCTATTGTTGATACGTCCATTTTCAATGTCTCAACTTAATAATTTTATGTACAACTTGGACAACAGCAGCCAGGCAAAGCAAAAAAGGGAAAACTGATGTCGACATTTCAGATTCATTCATGGTAGCTAAGGTGTACGTTAACGAATCACAATGCCAATCGCTTCTTCGACCCTCCTCCGTCAACGATAGAAATTCCGGTTCACGTACTGAGCAATGCAGCAGGAACACAAATAAAACAAGCTCGACTCGCTCTACTCCCGACCTCGGGTTCTCTACATTTCTGTCGACGTAGACTATATTTGCCATTCTTCATCGTGTGAGTCTAGGCCCCAACCGTCGGGCAATTGATATTGTACTCGTCTTCAACCCTGCTCTCTCCGCCCCACAGCCCTCATGCAGACAAAGTCCGGAAAAAGCATGCAAACTAACTTAGTAAGAATGAATGAAGCTGGCAACGCACCTACAATTTAATCCGACTCGCTTAGAACGGCTAGGCTAGCAGCATGTTAATCAGCAAGCAACCGAAGGTGGTCCTCCCCGGTCATGGGCACGCGAGCCCAGGTACGCATGACGGCGCTCTGCCCACCGGTCAGCAAGTTTTTGACGGAGATTTGCTGTGGAAACCAACAACCACGAAAAGACGACAAGCACAGATGTACGTGCTGTAGATTATGGGATGTTCGACAACCTAACGAGAATCAAGCACGGTCGTAAGATTCACTCCACACCCCCGGCGACCCGCCAGCCAGAAAGCTGTATTAAAATGTAATAAAGAACAGGTGGGCAGAACTATGGCCAGTAGCAAGCAAGCGTAGTCAACCTTTAATGTGCCGCTTTTTGCCAATACCTGCAGCATCCGGAACAAAAAAACATGCTGTGCCTACCCATGGAAAGGTCAATCTAGATGAGCGGATGCAATCGAGCACTCATCATTACCCGGCCATGCGTACCTCGAAACATTTGGCACAATCATTCCTATTTTTCGAGCCCCTATTCCTCTGGCTCATAGAGGCTGAGTTGTCAGCTGCACAACTAGAACAATCACCGCCCATAACGTTTCTTTGATTTGCCCAAAACGTCTGCGATTAGGAGTAGGTTGAACGCGATGGAATTCATTTGTTTCCACTCTTCGGATGACATTTCGTGAATTCCTTCCGTCTTTCACTAGCTCTTACGGGGAGGTTTTTCGGCAAGACCTCAAACGACCTGTGATTTAACCCAACCCGTCAGAAACACGGCCCTTATGACCTTTCTTATTGTTCACCTTGTGCCTGCTCATACCTGGACGTGAGTGAGTCCCCGGTCGGTCAGCTGGCGAACCTCCACCGTCTCCACAGTCGGTGTGCCGTTCGGTGCACACGTGGTGCAGGCCACGACGTACCCGTCTAGCTCTCCACTATCCCCGAGCGATACCGTCACCAGGTTCCTCCCACCGCCGCCACCACCACCGCCATCTGGTTGACGGTTCCAGGGTCTAGCAGGAGTGACATGCTCTTCATTGAGCTGGAACCTGAAATGACGAAGAAGTAACGTTTGGAGATTGAACAAGGAAAATAGCACAGCTCTTGCCAAAGCGTTGGTCGCGTTTTACGAGGTGAATCGGAGCGTTTCGTGATTCCCAGCAACGAAACGGTTGCTCCACTTGATAAGGGAATAACTATTCGCTTCACTCAGCTCGTTCTTGCACCAGGACCGCCCACTACATATTCATGTCAAATTCGGTATACACTCGCTCAACACCCCACCCCTAATACCCCACACGAACTGATGCCGTCCTCGCGTCGGGGTCGTAGCACTAGTCCGAGTCGGGTGCCATTCGCATGTACCTGTTCATCACCGTTACCCTCGACTCCTGGACGGACAACAAATTGTTTCCCCTACGGTGCACTTTTCGTTCATATATTCTACTGAGATCCCTGGATATGCTTAGCTACATAGATAGTGAATCCCTCAATGGGAGACGCGATTTGGCCTCTGACCGGGATTTGTGCGTTTCACACTCGATCTTTCCAGTTTTCGATGTTTGCACTAGTCAATTCCCTGCAAGTAAATGGTTAGGGTGTTGGCCAAACGTCCGAAGCTGTATTCTATACTCTATATCTATAGATTTGCCCTCTCATCACGTTCGCCATCATTTGCTTTCCCTTGAAGATTTTTGTTTCATGCCGCAGGGGAGGTGGGGTGCCGAGGAAAACTATTACAACGTAGTCAGGACAGTTTATTTAGCATAGGTGCGACTGTGGCAACTAGCCTTCCGTAGACATGATACAGAAAAAAGAGATGGTACTTAGCAGAGAACATGAGCGCAAAGTTGTAGCGGAGATGATTTGGCAGGCGAGACTGTAACATGTATTCTCTTGTTCTAGAAATATTCCGGAAGCATGCTAGCTCAAGGTCGACCGGGACATCTACGTAGAACGTATGTAGCTTCTGGAAACCTTCTGGAACCTTCTGGAAGCGTTCTAGACCTAGGTTGCACTTGATACTTTTCTTGGACGTAGAAGGGCTTCCAGAATCATTCTGGAAGCATTCTAGATCTTTTGTGTGATTGGCTTACTTGTCCGGTATACGACGAACGTGGTGCAGCCCTAAGCTCACCACCCCTCTCACTCTCATCTAGCACCCATCAAAGCCTGACCAGGGAGTCAGTTGATAAGAACATCTACATTTCTCTTTCCGGAGCTCGTTCGGGCCTACCGCTCTCACAGCAGTGTAACCTCTGTGATAGACTACAAAGTCTACGAGCTACAGCAGCGCCGCCATCTCCGCTGCCATCTCCGCTGCTGCAGAACGCCACCTTTTAGTGAGGTTATGAGCTTTGCATTACGCGAACACTAGGAGCTGTGGCCATTACGACGGCGGTCAAGACATCCTACTACTGTGGACTAGAACATCCGTCTGTGGACCTCGAGCGGAAATCTGGATTCGGAGACTTGGGAGATCATCAACGGTCAGCGGAAACGAAAGTGAGCGCACTACTTGGTCATCTACACCAAGGGGCTGAGAGTTCATTATACACACACGTTACCCCTGCTGCAACAGCAGTGGGTACCTCTGTGGTGAACTAACAGCAAAGTGTTGCGCGGGAAGCCTCGATTTATACATCAAGCAAATACTTCTGCGGCAGAGACAGGAGGGAAGACTGTATCAACAGCGAAAGTCGACCGGGAACCGTAGTCCTATTCACCGATTCCCTAAGTGAGGAAAGGGTATCAGGAGCGGGGTCGCAAATTGGCCTACAACCGGAGTTCTATTCACCAATTCTCTATCTAGGTGAGAAAAGGGTTTCAGAAGCGGGGTCACGAATCGGCAACCGGAGTCCTCTATATCAATAGAAGGAGCGGGGCTGGAAAAATCTCAGCGACAGATAGCTGAGTAATACACCAACAAAAATACAAGACGAGATCATCAGGATAAAACCAGAAATGGAAGCAAAATCGGAAACTGGAGGCGGAGGCAGCATCTGGAGTGATGGATCCACAAACCTGGCCAACGTCATCAGAGGACTCCCCAAGTTCGATGGAACGAAACCAGAGGACTTCAACGACTGGATGAAGAAATTGGGTGTAGTCGTCGGCGTTACTCGGAGGGACATCATGCCACTTCTCAAGGGAATGCGCAGGCCTGATCCCTCGGACACCACCTTCGCCGCATACGAGAGAGCAAACGAAGACCTCTACGCAATCCTATTCTGCCTCGTCGAACTGCCGGCTGCACAAACCGTACACAAGTACGAAGACGACACCGGCCTTAGCGGCGACGGACAGGCAGCGTTCGCGGAACTGAAGGCCAACTACAATCGAGTGACAGATGAAGTGATCAGGGCTAAACTGGACGACCTGGAAAGGACGGTCATGGAGCCAGGAGAGAACCCGGACGATTTTTTCAACAAGAAACACCGCCTCCGCTCTCAACTAGAGAAAATGGGGGAAACCATCTCCGATCGCCGCTTCAAGGACATCTGTGTGCAAGGTTTGTCCGAGGACTGCAAGGACATCAAGTTGATGGTTTTCCTCGACCCATCATTCGACGTACAACAGATGCAAGCCACCGTGCGCAACATCTTCCTTGACGAGCAGATGCGCAAGGGAACCAAGGGCCAAATCGCTGGCCGCGGATTCGCCATGGCTACCAAGACATCTGGCCCCATCTGCTTCGAGTGCAACGAACCGGGACATGTCAGGAGGAACTGTCCCAATCGCCAGCGGGAGGGCCATAGGGCAAAGAAGACGAAGCCTGCGGGAGCAACCAAGTGGTGCTCCGTCCATAACACCACTACACACTCCGACGAAGAACGTTACAGCCAAGGAGCCAAGTGACCAGAACGCACGGGCAAGGCCTTCTCTGCATGCACACACTGCGTGCACTGCTCAACCCAGTCAAGAGACATACAAGCCAAGCCTACCACAACAGAAATTCCCAAAGAAACAGAGAAGACCGAAAAGGCAGAGATCGACTTCTCTTACGATGAAGACGCATTCGAGGGTGGATTCATGTACCATGCTACATGCAGCAAGGGAAGCGGACGCACTTTCACGACAACTGCAACTGGGACTTCCGCGCTGGTGGATTCTGGAGCTTCTGAAACCATGTTCGACGACCGCCTCATCCCGAATGGACGTCTCGAAGAAGAACGCCCGACGCCCAAGATCATCGACGTTGCAGGAGAAAGCCAACTACGAGGCACTACCACTGGGATCCTACACTGCACCATCGAAGACGACAAAGAACAGCAACTACCCGTCAAACTACAAGGTCTCATCGTGCCAGGACTAGGCCGGAACATCTTCGCACCAACGGCCCTTCTCAAGAAGGGCCTCCGATGTGTCCTGGAAGACAAGACCCCACACCTCACCATTGGCGGAGAAGTCGTCGTTCCTCTGAAACAAGAGACTCAAGATCAAGGCATGTGCATCCTCGCCATCACATTCAAGGGCGATCCAGCGTCGACAAGCAAGACACCCCCGAACAACCAAGAACCAGGGCGGAAGCCGAAGTTCGGAAAACCAGAAGCGGTACAGATCGATCACACTCCGCACGCGACATGCTCAGTGGCGATGAGCGTGAGCGCCGACCTCTGGCACCGGCGCCTCGGCCACATCAATCCACGTGCTATGGAGATTTTGCGGCGCAACCCCGCCACAGGTGTGAAATATGACGGACCTGTATCCCCGTGCGACAANCCGGTTCAGATCGATCACACTCCGCACGCGACATGCTCAATGGCGATGAGCGCGAGCGCCGACCTCTGGCACCGGCGCCTCGACCACATCAATCCAAGTGCTATGGAGATTTCGCGGCGCAACCCCGCTACAGGTGTGAAATATGACAGACCTGTATCCCCGTGCGACAACTGCCACGTCACGAAGCACAAGAAGGCTCCCGTCCCGAAGAAGACCAGCCGTGTCCTGACCAAACCAGGCCAAGTCGTCCAGTTCGACAACATGAGACCAATCGACCCGCCTGCATGGTGCAGCGGACGCACCTACTCCTACGTCGCCAAAGCGACCGACGTCTTTACCAGAATGCGGGAAGTGTACCTACTGCGCGACATGACGAAAACCACGCAAGCTCTGCACGCCTGCAACATGCAAGTAGCATCTGAAGGCTACCGCATCGAGGTTCTACGCTGTGACAAAGGGGGAGAGAACACTGGGGAAGAAATGCGCAACTACTGTAGGGAGTCTGCGATCAAGCTGGAATTCGCCGCGACCAACACGCCCCAAGAAATCGGAGTGTCAGAAAGGGATGGCCAGACACTTGCGGCTGTGACTCGAGCTCTACTGCGCGATGGAGACTTCCCAAAACACATGTGGGGGGAGCTCATGATGACTGCAGCATACCTGACCAACAGGACCCCACACGCGGCGCTAGGGGGAGCCACGCCGTATTCCAAGATGTACAACACAACCCCCGACCTTTCTCGACTTCGTGCCATCGGCGCCCGCGCGTTCGTTCATCACGAGCGAAACAAGAAGAAGCTAGACGACCGGGCCTTTGAACGCAAGCTCTGCGGTTACGGACCTGACAGCAAAACGTGCCGGATCTACGTGGAGGGCAAAGACAAAGTCTACGAGAGCCGGAATGTGACTTTCACCGAGACTCCGCCCGACACCATCCCCCCTCACCGGTGGGACGACCGTCTCGGATATGAACAGGATGTGATGAACCTCACGTCATTGCTCGGACGTGGTACCTCTACGGGCGACGAAGACAACAAAGTGGACTACGGAACACAATCAGAGCTCCTACTGCACGAGATGCGCAACATGCAGCAAGACAACATCAACCGAGCAGAACTTCGCCAAAACAACGCGGGCACGGATCCCGACGACTACTTTGCTGCTGGGTGAGATGGCAGCATGACAACTCGCGGACTACGACACCATCCAGGACATGGCGGGACACGACACTCGCATCACCCACGACGCCAACAGACACGGACTCCGCTTCGCCAGCCCCGATCCCAATGCGTCGATTGACGGTGACCCGTCCTGCCACGCGCACTCACCAACCCACAGATGACCCTATCGACCCTTCATGAATCTCTGGAAGTGAACATGAACGACAGAGGCCGCTCTACCATGGCTGTCAGCCACCCCGAACCACTGGAGCTCACCGAGGATCAAATACTCGATCTCACCCACCAAGCGCAGCAATGATGCCCTACCGACGCGGCGGATTTTGCTCACCTGGATGAAGACCCCTTCGCCGAAGCCCGGGTGTATGCTTACGCCACAGGCACCTCGAGCAACGGGTTCTTGGGGGAGACACACCAAGAGATCAAAACTCCGAGCACGTACACCGAAGCCATGAACTCACCACAACGCGAGCAGTGGAAGAGCGCTATCGACACCGAGATGGGTAATCTCGCCAAGCACAAAGTCTTTAAGAAAGTACGCATCAGCCTGGTACCGAAGGATGAGGACATCTTCGACACACGCTTCGTGTTCAAGATCAAGGCCGACAGCCGCTTCAAGGCCCGCTTAGTCGCGGGGGGACACCGCCAACGAAAGAAAGTACGCATCAGCCTGGTACCGAAGGATGAGGACATCTTCGACACACGCTTCGTGTTCAAGATCAAGGCCGACAGCGGCTTAAAGGCCCGCTTAGTCGGCGGGGGACACCGCCAACGGGCAGGACGATACTACGGAAGGAACTACGTTCCAGTCAACCGATTGGGTAGCATCCGCATGCTATTCGCCATCGCTTGCGAACACGGATGGGAGGTGTACCAATTGGACGTGGTAGCTGCATTCCTGAACGCGTACACCGACAGAGACGTCTACGTCAGGCCGGCGCCAGGCGACGAGGAGAGGGACCCTACGACAGGTGAAATGATGGTCTACAAACTGGAGAAAAGTCTGTACGGCCTGTCACAGTCCCCGTCACTGTGGAACGACGCCATCAATGACCGACTCATCATCTTCGGCTGGCAGCGTACTCACTCTGACCCCTGTGCCTACATCTTCATAAGCGGGGACGAATTCACAATCCTCGCGATCTACGTCGATGACATCCTCATCACGGGCGGAAACAAGGAGATCGTAAGCAGGAAAAAGAAGGAACTCATGGACAGCTTCGAAATGACAGACATGGGAGAGGTCAAGCGCGTAATCGGCATCGAAGTGCAGCGGGACTACGAACATGGCACACTAGCCATATCGCAAGGACCCTACGCGAGAGATATCCTACAGCGATACGGAATGGAACAGGCAAACCCGGTCAGCACCCCCGGGTATGGAGCAGAACTATCAACCGAGCAGCCACAAGACCAACTACTCGGACCCGAGGACAAGCAGAGATTCCAGGCCATCACCGGGAGTCTCCTGTACCTTGCCCAATGCACCCGCTACGATCTGTCATACGCAGTGCACCAACTGACACGGGCATGCGCAAACCCAGCACAGGTCCACATGGGTGCGGCCGAGCACCTACTACGGTACCTACGCCGAACGCCGGACCTGCCGATCGTGTACAAGAAGGGGCACTTTAGACTCTCGTGCTTCACTGACTCGTCATTTGGAGCCAACCAAGAAACCTGTTCTTCCTAGGAGGGGGACTGATCAGCTACGGATCCAAGGCACAGACTCTCGCAGCACAGAACACCGTGGAGGCCGAACTTCAAGCGCTGAGCTTCAGTGCTCGCGAGGCAGTCTACATCTCCAACTTCATGACGGAAATCGGATTCAAGACCTTTCGATCGGTACCCATCAACAGCGACAGCACCGGAGCATTGACTGTGGCCAGCAACGCGATGTTCAGCTCTAGAACCAAGCACATCGCGCTCCGGTTCTTCTTCCTCAGGGAACTCACGAAGGGGCACCGGATCACTCTTCACCACCAACCTAGTGCCACGATGTTGGCGGACATCGCGACGAAACATCTCCCGAAGCAGCGATTCGCCACCATCATGCAACTCATCAAGGACTACAAGTGCTAGAAGATAATAAGCACAAGATCGCGAAGTATGGTTGAATGGTTCGAACGCGTGTATTGCTCACAGTATGGATTCACTCATGTGGAGGTCGACATTCTTTGATATGGATTGGGAATCGAAGGGTCGCAAAAATCAGCAGCGAAGTGAAGCTTTTTTTTTTTCATTTTTGTTTTTTTGGAGATCGGCTACTTGCCTAATCGAGGGGTCGTGTCGAGGAAAACTNCCGTAGACATAATACAGAAAAAAGAGATGGTACTTAGCAGCGAACATGAGCACAGAGTTGTAGCGGAGATGATTTGGCAGGCGAGACTGTAACATGTATTCTCTTGTTCTAGAAATATTCCGGAAGCATGCTAGCTCAAGGTCGACCGGGACATCTACGTAGAACGTATGTAGCTTCTGGAAACCTTCTGGAACCTTCTGGAAGCGTTCTAGACCTAGGTTGCACTTGATACTTTTCTTGGACGTAGAAGGGCTTCCAGAATCATTCTGGAAGCATTCTAGATCTTTTGTGTGATTGGCTTACTTGTCCGGTATACGACGAACGTGGTGCAGCCCTAAGCTCACCACCCCTCTCACTCTCATCTAGCACCCATCAAAGCCTGACCAGGGAGTCAGTTGATAAGAAAATCTATCTACATTTCTCTTTCCAGAGCTCGCTCGGGCCTACCGATCTCACAGCAGTGTAGACCAACCTCTGTGATAGAGCGGTGACAGCAGTGTAACCTCTGTGGTAGACTACACAGTCTACGAGCTACAGCAGCACCGCGGTGACGGCAGTGTAACCTCTGTGATAGACTACAAAGTCTACGAGCTACAGCAGCACCGCCATCTCCGCTGCTGCAGAACGCCACTTTTTTGTGAGTGGGGTGCCAACGATGAAAAGCAAGAGGGGGGAAAGAGGGGTAGACGGGGGTAAGGAAAAATAGTAGATTGGCCAAGTACTGTGTTGCCAAGTGGCAGTGTGTAACGTCACATGTCTCGGCCGACGGGTGTTGTTCTCAAGAGCGATCGGTAGACACAATGTACGGTGGGCAACTCCCCGAAAGGATACGGCAGCGGGCCACCTTCTCACACAAATGACACAGCCGCGAATTGTCATGGCCATGGATAACGAATGAATGACGTCCAGGGCCGGTCCAGCTGGTGAGCGTCATAATATTCAATAAAAAAGCGAGGTCTGCGATGTCAATGGGTAGGATAAAGCGGGTCGAAATCCGCAGTCACAACTGGGGACTCGCCGGCGATGTTTCATCATCGCTGGCTTCCGCCACATAGTGTGGTTTGAATTGGCGCTCTGTTGGCCGTACGGTAAGGAGCGAGAAAGGAGAGTCCTGAGATTCGCAACAGTCCCGAAGGACCTTGAAGAGGCCAAGGGCCTTCCTTGCTTGGTAGATGTCGGAACAATGGAAAGAGGGAGAGATAGATAGATAGATAGATAGAGAGAGAGAGAGAGTAGGGGCGAGCCCTACGCGGGACAAGTCATCCATCTCCTCATCGCGGAAAGGAGACAAAAATGGGCTTTTGCAACGTACCGATCAAGATGGCAGTAGACGGTTGATCCTACCTATGGCAACGTTACAAGAGTACCCTTAGGAAATGATCCGATAAGCCATACTTGTTTTATGGTTCAATGTATGGAGGTGTGTAAAATGATCCGATGACTGAATCAACGTGCAGAAGGCTAGTAGTCCGGTAATACTCCTGAGCGGAATGCCTACGTGCTGTTGTTTACAGCAGTACGAATACAACAGACTTGCATTGAGTATTCCAACATTTGTTTGGGTGATATGCTTCATTCACGGGGTTGCTCGCCAGGCTTATACTAGGCGGCTGGCTATCTTACATTAAGCCGCCCTGATGGTTCAATTGTTGACTGACGTGGAACCAAGGCTGTGCGCGGAAAATGGTTCGACACACGCCACACGCACGATAGTCCACAAATATATTATTTGGGTCCGTGGGGGGGGTTCGGGAGAAGGTGGCGGGGACCATGGGGTAGGCGTTTTGGCTGGGGCGGAGACATGTACCGGACACCCACAGGTTAGTTAGTGTGCACTGCCGCTCTCAGCGGTCGGTGGTGTTGAGACTGGGTACTACGTCATCCCAGGAACGCGCGTAGCTATCATGTATATATATATATATTACACAGGACAAGGATGCTTACCCCACAGGTAAGTGCCGGGAGCACACCGCCATGTGATCACTCGGGGGGACCGCACTTGGACCCCAACCGCATACATACCCATCACATCCATACTTCCCATACGCGTATTCCCCACAGAGGATGCACAGATTGGACTCATATCCAAGTACCACCAACAGGTCTATGCTGAGCATTTCCGCTGAGGCTACTGCTCTTGCTTCTCTCTGTGTGTGAATGCCATCTGGGCCTAACAGGGTTTTCGCACGATTGAGAGCGAAGTTTCCGATTGAGAGCGAGAACCGAAAAAAATCGAAATTCGGGTCCAGACGCCTCCCATCATTTCTCGGGAAGCAAGGGACGGGCTTTTCCAAAAAGCGGCGCAAATTGAAGCTCTCTTCAGCAGCTTCGCGTGCATATGCGTGTCACTGCCATCGGCTGCAGCAGCGAGGAGCTACGCACCTTGCTAGATTTCCCCAGGTTGGCTATTCCTGCCCGAAACTGTTCCAGGGCGCCGTCGCCTGGCGCGGTAGGCCCTCCCGTAGCTTCTGCTCCGCGGTGTAGCTCCACAACGCGAGACACCCGCAGGATGACCCGGGTATCGGCTTGTAGCTATGGGCAAGCCCTTCAATTCAAGCCGCACAGCAAGCTCTACCTGTCAGCAGTAGACAAGCTACATCGTATCGCACGATTGTGCTCTCAATCAGATACTTCGCTCTCAATCGTGCGAATATGTTGTTGCCTGGAGACCTCCGAGAGGGGGCGGACATCACCCCGCGACCCCCAGGAGTCTTCGGAAGCTGCCCATGAAATAACGGGGCAGCCTTTAGTTGTCAACGGGAGCTAGCAGTACAAACTGCGCGTGCACGCGCATACACTCTGTCGTTTTGATCGTGTCTACATGCGTGTGCCTAAATACAAGCTCTTCGCCCCGTGCACCATAGAAACGCTGTCAGATGTAGTGTCGAAGCAACAGGACACGAACGTCCCAAGGTCACAAATTCTCAAAGGATGGCATGTATCTTGTCGGTGATTCATTGAGACTTAAAACGTTTTGGAATTCCCGCGCCCCGCGGGGGCATACGGAAGGGTCCGAAAACAAGGGGTTTCGACGCTGGCTCGTTTCCCATTCTTTAATCCTATTGAAGGAAAGAAAACAATCCTCCCGCCAGGGTTAGGTGGTGCATTCTGCTGAAATTTATAGAGGACACCATGGAGAGGCGTCGTGCGCGCTGGCACGCTCAGGTTTGCTACTGGAGCTGAAATATCGAAGGTCGCAGCAGCCTTCGAAAGCAGTCCGAAGTCTGCGCGGGAACCACGCGGCATCCAACATTTGTCACAGCCGCACTTGTCACGACATTTGTAACAGCCGTGCTCGCCGCCAATCTGCGGGTGTACAGCAGTAGCTGATGTCACGGCTGTGACTAGACCAATGTTGGATGCCGCCTGGTTCCGGCGCAGATTTTGGACTGTTTTGAAAGGCTGATGCGACCTTCGATGTTTTAGCTCCAGTAGCAAATTTGAACGTGCCAGCACGCACGACGCTTCTCCATGATGGCCTCCACTAATGGCAATAGAATGCACCGCCTAACCTAACTCTGGCCTCGTTTGAGTGCCTTCGGTTTTGGAACTTGAATGTGGAATGAATGGTAGGTGTGCACTTCAATCTTGATTTTTAAGGAGGCGTGTGGAGGTAGACGCGTGAAATGTATGCTTGACCATAACAACATATTCGCCTGATTGAGAGCGTAGCATCTGATTGAGAGCGAGATTGCGCGATACGCTGTAGCCGGACTACCACTGAGAGGTGNNGCTCTCAATCAGATACTTCGCTCTCAATCAGGCGAATATGTTGTTCCATACATACTGCCGCCTTGTGTGAGAGTCGACGATTTCTGTTTTTCGCGATGTCTTCCTGCTGGTCTTGTGTATCTATGTGCGATTTCTGGCGCTCTTGCGTTTGTTTAGTCAACATCAGAGCTTTAACTCTTGACATGTGCTGCTACTGAAATAGAGGTCCCTAATCTTCGAAAACCCGCAGGTCTCTGTCCCAACATGTTCATCTGAGTCATGAGCCAGAGAGGTATGCGGAGTTACATAGTTTAAATCCCGCAGAAGAGGGGAGATATGCGAGGTAGAATACATACTGCTGCGTAGTTGAGCAAGATCATCTGAAACCGGAAGGGAAGGGATGGGTGGAAACAGACAGGGTTCAGGGTTGGTCCTGGATTATGAAAAGCGGAGATTAGGAAAAGGAACGTTCCCCATCTTCCTTCTACCATAAAGATCCACGGAATATAGGAAAGTCGTGCACAGCTCTTCACTCCCTTTTCTGTCACGTGTCCGAGACAGGAAAACCAGAGGAAAGAGGATATCCTTTGAGACGCTCAGTCCACCGCTCCCACACCCCGCTCGTTAGCCCGATCGGTGCTTGGGACCTTTCGTCTCCTGCAAGATTCGTTTTCCCCTGTTTTTTGGCGCTCTCTCCTTGAATCATGAGCGCTATCGCCGGGTTTGACCCTGCCGTGTTGGAAGTCCCCACCGAGTACGACGAGTTCCTCGACATCTTCGCCAAGGCGGCCACGCCGGGCGGCATCCGGGCCATCAACCTCCACTGCATCGGCGCCCTTCCGCACGGGCGTCCGCTGAAGGGCGCGTCTCTCGATGGCGTGTCGGCGCTTTTCCTCGCCCTCACGCAGGCGGGTGACGCAGCCACGCCCCCCGAGATTTTCAAGGTCGGCCTGGCCGCTCGTGCCGCAGGAGTGTCCGACGAGGACAACGACGCCCGCGTGAAGCGGGCCCTTGTCCAGGCACTGGTATCGTACCTGTGGCGATGCACGGACCATGGCGGCCTGAAAATGTCCACGGCAGGCGCATACCTCCCGGCCGACCCGGCCACGTCAGGCCCT